TAACCCAGAGGTCCGAGGATCAAAACCTCGCTCTGCTAGAATTTTTTTTATTACATGAAAGAATTTCTGAAGACGTTTTACTTCTTATTTTTCCTTATTGTCCACCAATCAAATTAAAGAAAAACCATGCAACCGGCGACAAGCGGGAGAGAAAACGTGCGAAAAAATACCCACCGGCAATATTGAGTTAGGGTAATATCTTGCTTATGAGGTTGGCCTAGTAAACGGATTGGTGTCTGAGAGTTAAAAACTGACTAACTTTTTGACACGACGTCGTCGCGCCTTCAGGACTTTATACTCCCGTTGGAGGTTCAAAGGTATCATTTGATCGCGATCAAACTGGCTTCTTCAGAAAAGATTATTTCGTGACATTTGCTGTTCAAAACCAAAAAAGAAGAGAAAAGCTCTTCGTAGTCGGCAGGATTCGAACCTGCGCGGAGAGACCCCAATGGATTTCTAGTCCATCGCCTTAACCACTCGGCCACGACTACCGTGACAGTTCAAACCTGTTCAAAAGTACAAAAGGAACGTTAACAAAGATATTTTTACCAACACAACGTGGAGGAGGTTGACAAGGAGCAGAATCCGTCAAAGTAGCAGAGAGGCGCAGCGGAAGCGTGCTGGGCCCGTAACCCAGAGGTCCGAGGATCAAAAACCTAGCTCTGCTAGTATTTTTTTTACCCCTAAGGATGTTTGAAGGCGATTTACTACTTATTTTAATTCTTTCCTAACAATCCAATTAGAGAAAAACCATGCAATTGGCGCCAAGCGCGTATGAACCCGTTTGGAATCGGCCATTCAGTGAGGGTAATGATACCCTGGGTTCAAGGATCTCCCTGTGAAGATATTGGTTTCTAAAAAAGAAAAGCATGAGTTTTTGACACGATACGCTTTGTTCATTTTAATATTCAAGTCTCATGAAACTAAAACTTCAGATGATTTTTAAAAAATGATGGGCGTTGTCGCGCTTCAGGTCTCCCTACAGGTTACTACCGTCGGAAGTTCCAAGGTATTTTAACGTGTTCATTCTTGTTTATTACCAAATGATAAAAATCATTTTCTGTGCAAAGTCAAAATAGAGACCAGTTTATCGTAGTCGGCAGGATTCGAACCTGCGCGGGTAGACCCCAATGGATTTCGAGTCCATCGCCTTAACCACTCGGCCACGACTACCTTGTCAACATAAAAAGAATCGATTTAAAACTCTGTCTAGAAGATTTAACCGCGTTTAAATTACAGCATCGTGTTAGTTTGGTTCTAAGGATGAGGTGAAAAAAACAAAAAAAGAACACACACACGAGTTTTATACACAA